CCCCAAAACCCCAAAACCCCAAAACCCCAAAACCCCAGTCACTTCAGGTAAACAGATTAATGGATAAAAATAAGTATATTAATATTTGTCTAATTATTATCAAATCTTTTTGCTATCTCTGAGAATGACTTATCCTACAATAACTGTAATATCATCTGGCTTTCCGCCATTGAAATCGTAAAAATTGTCTCTAGCACCTTTGGCAAATGGCGAGAAGTAGTTTTATTAGTTTGAGAACTTTTCAGCCTGGGTTGCAATGAGTTCTGCTACTAGTTCTGGGTCAGCCAGTTCATCCTAATCCCTGATGAAAGGTCTCACAATGTCGACTATTTTTACATCGTACATATTGTCCCAGAGTCCATCACTCGCAAGGATGATTATATCTCCATTTTAGATTTCATGAATCTCACCATCAGCTTTGTTTGGATCGTCTCCACCGGTGCCTACTTAAAAGGGAAAATTAAAGCTATGTTGCTGCTCCTTTGATCTGAATCTAGATATTAAGTCTAATCCCTCCTTTCTGAGAATGAGGAAACCTGAATCTCCCAAATTAGCAGTGTAGATATAAGGCTTTTCTTCATCTAGAATTGCAATCACACAAGTGCAGCTTCCAACTTCTTTGTTATCATAGACTGCATCGGTTAATAGCTCCTTTGGATTGACTTTGTATCTGTCATCATTCTTGAATACCAAGTCTACAATGCTAAATTATGACTTAAATTGCATAAATTCTTACTTTTGACAAAGTCTTCTTGAGTATTTGGCTGGGTCAACATTATTTTCAGCCCAGCCACCGACACCGTCAGCCACTGCTAGCACTCTATCAGTTAGCACTGCTGCATCTTCTCCACCTTTATGTCTCTTTTGAATGTGTGGAAGTACGTATACTCTATTTAGATTTCAATTAACCATTTCATTAATACTTACCCTGCATTAAATCGATTAAAAGTAGAGTCCTCTTGCTTTCCCAGTGATTGTTTTATGCCTTGGCCATTGCTATTAGAATCAACCGAGAATCTTCTAAATATATTTCTCATAAAATTGCCTTTACCAGCCTAATGAAAGATTAATTTGAAGATGTAACAATACATTGAAGTGATTAGTAAGCAAGTTAAGCATAGAAAGTGGTTTAAGTTGTCTTTGCTAAGATAGTATAGTCTGAGTTAGTTTCATTTTATTAATGATTGATTATTATTCTATCGCTATTATAATTTATTAATCATTGGTTTACAAATATTTTGGTCTTTTAATCTTGCGGGGTTTTGGGGTTTTGGGGTTTTGGGG